GACCAATGACGAAGTAGAATTGTAAAATTAAACGAAACTTACCTAAGTTGAAGTTTAATTGAGACTCTACGAAGTCATTGGCCTGGAGCTAAAGAGTCAGGTGCCCTCCCATCTGGGCTACCCACCCTACTGATTTACAACAGTCCTGATCATTCGCCTTTAAAGTGTGACCGCTCTGGTTTCGCGCGCATATCTCACCTGACTCCTTAGCTCCAGACCAATGACTTCGTAGAATCTCAATCAAACTTCAACTTAGGTAAGTTCCGTTTAATTTTACAATTTTTTAGTAAAAGGAAAAATCCTGGTATTCCACCGGTGTTTACATAATAAATTTATTTCTCAACCTTGTAGAGCATCCTACATACATACTTACAACGTGAGGCTGTTTGGTGTGTTTTCAGTTTGACTTAACATGAAAGTTTATATTTACTTAGATTTACCTTAAAATGACGCTCTCTCGTACTAGTCCAATAATATTTTTAAACAGCAAGACGTGTTAAACACATATTAAAATAAATAGCCAGCAAAGCTACGCGATATAAAATATTAAAATTCTAACTTCGCTCCAAGGCTTAAGGGAGGAAACTCAAATAAGTTGTAACTTCTTTTGTTTCCTTCACCCAAGCCTCGGGTCCAAGTAAAGGCTCATTTTCATATGATCGCTACCATCACTGAAGAAAAAGTTCATCGATAGCTGTGATCACGTGGAAACACCTCTTCAGCGTACTTCCGAGTGGAAAAACGTACTGCGCAGCTTTCTGCGCATCCCTGCTTGCAGACAAAAGCAATACGGTCTGCAGTGGCGGACTGTAATAAGGTAGGAGAGGATATCACTCGGTTGATTTATTTCTTCTAGGGCAAGCATGAAATCTTTCGAATTGATGTCACTGTTAAAAAAACAACGCTCCCCTGCCTGCTGTGAGGCTTATATGGATACAATATGTAAAGAGGGTTTGTGGAAAAAATGTGTCTTCGCACCGAAATGACGGAATGAGAAAATGTTGCTAGTTACCGGGAAAATTGGGAAAGCACATTAAGTTCGTAAACATCTTGTTTCCATGATCGACGAAATTCCCGCCATTTTTTCTAACTTAAAGCCTGGAGCGCGGCCAAAACTTGCGCATGCTTACTACGTTTTTCCGCTCTCAATACATGTACCAGAATGCAGTACGTTGTTGTTTGACCCACGCCCTCTCAGGCATTTTTTATTCTNGCTACCCACCCTACTGATTTACAACAGTCCTGATCATTCGCCTTTAAAGTGTGACCGCTCTGGTTTCGCGCGCATATCTCACGTGACTCCCTAGCTCCAGACCAATGACTTCGTAGAATCCCAATCAAACTTCAACTTAGGTAAGTTTCGTTTAATTTTACAATTTCGCCGTCACAGAACAACCACATGGCAGCAAGTGTACTTTGGTGAATACTCGACACACGGACAGTGAATGTACACACGGATCGTCTTGACCTCATTGTTTTGTTTCTTCCAAAGGCCGATCGTTCCTCCTTACTTCCTCTTTTATATGCATTCCACGATGTCTCTCCTACGAAGACGTTGTTACGCTTCGTACATTTGATTTTATGTCACGCTTTGTCTGTCCCACTATTCGGTGCGAGTTGCTGTGTGCCAAAAGCTCAGTGGAAAGTGGAACCTAGGACGAGAGAGAGCCCGAGGCCGCGTGGCTTTTTTACATGGTCAACCTTTCGTCCGCGTCAAAATCCCTTCACTTTATTGCAATTCTGGTTTTGACAAAAACGGTTTTGAGTCTATTGGGGACCTCTGACTTGTCTTTTTAAACCAGTCATGTTACCTGCGATTGACTGCCAAGGTGCTTCTACTTTGATATTTGCTAAAGGCGGTCTTGGCGGTGAAAGGTTTGCAAATGCGACCCCTCTGAGACAACTTCACAGGTGGGTGTTGGAGGCAGTTTTTCGCCCATAATTGAGGATGGAAACCGTGTACACACAAAATTCGACAGAAGACGAGAGCGAACGGTGTTGTTGTTTTTTTTTCAATTGTTTATTAAATAAAAATCGGAGCATTTACGCTAGACACCCGTATGTTACATTCCATTGCCGATTGCTTCGTGCAAATTATTTATATACCCTGTACAAACCCTAGCCTACAATGCCAGTCTAAAATACTTTCCTCTTTGATTCACAAGTCAGGAGGCTGAACTATCGCAACATTAGAAAGGTTTTTTAGACACTCAAGAGCTCAGAGATACGTGTTCTAATATCAAGACACTAGCAGGCGTATAGGGTTGGTTAATCTGACGCTCAAGGAAATGCGTTAGGAAGACACATTTTACAAGCTACGTTTTAGGAATTAAAGCGCCAATAGGCAGTTTTCTTGACCCTGAGGAAAGCTTAAGCTGTATTAGAAGGAAAACCTTGTAAGTCGTTTTCGATTACTTATTCTAAGATGATAATTTCCATCGAGAGCAAGCCATGAAAGTAAGTGCTACTAGTGAGAGAGAGAAGCACTGTACGATAAAGCTCTAGCCTCCCACTGCAAAAAGAAACCTCCGTCAGTTCTCTCCGCGAACAGTATGACTGAAAACCATTATTGTACGTACGGAAAACTAGGTGTGTTATAAAACAGTCACCGATAGCGTAGAAAGAGTACTATCTTAGACGATTTTATATACATCAAAGTCAAACCTTTAAAATGGCATTTAGCTTCAGATAAAAAATTCTGCAAAATTTCCCATCACTGAAAAATACAGGTAGCAGTATATTTTTGTGAAAACTCTTTCAGTGCTTGTTGGGTTGACGCATGCGTACTAAGAAAGAGGACAAGTTACTTCAGCCAGAATTCCGAGCAAAGACGTATTGAGCTTGCATTTAAGTGGTAAAAAGATCTCTACAAAACTATATTACAGATACACACGCTCGATAAGCCGCAAACAACGTCAAAAAATAGTACACCTGTCTATTTTGTTACAAAAGAGAAGAGAGTAGAGTTTACATTTGTGCCCATGCATGCATAAATACAATTACGGCCCTGCTTTACCATAAACATATCTCAGAAAGCTTCATTTTCCACTGATATGTATGCAGCAAATGTAGTGATATTCGATTGCCTCACATAACCCTGAGTTTAGTTCAAATTTGCACCAAACAGGCTTATTGAGTAAATAGATGGTAAAGATGTTTTGAATAATCCGGAGCGCACGGTTGGTCCTCAAACACGGATCCTAAAGGAGCTGCAACAAAAACAGAGTTCAGTTAAACAAAACAACAGCTTTGTAGAATCGTTTTCACTTCCGTGAAATGTTAGGTTCGATTATCAGCCGCTGTTCGCGGGGAATGGAGCCCGCGCTCCTCCCCAGACCAGACACAAAAGAGTGACGGAAATCGAGCCTAGTGAAAAGTAAGCTCTTGAGTTTATTACTGTGGTCCTAACTGTCAAATTTGTGGATGAAACTTTCTTGTGCGGCAATTAGACTGAAATCTGGCGAGTTTCATGCACTGAAACCTTAGTGTTTGATTATTCAAATGACAGCTTTTGAGCAATACTTTCATGGGGTACTTTTTTTATCGTGCTTTACAAGGTGACATATACTTTTAGTCTGTGTATGAAACATTAATGTGACTATTCAAATCACGTTAAGCTATTGAGCAGCACTTTCATGTGGTACTGATTACCACATTTCAGTTTAAAGCTCTAGTGTGTTACTATTCTAATAAATACTGATGAGAAATCTTTCGGGTGGATTGTGGTGGAACTTGTTTCTGAGTCCGTGGAGCGCGCGGCTCAAGGCTCCTGTCATGGTGATGCATCATGTAAGGTTCCAGACCTACTGTTACAAACGGCCAGCGGTGACATTTGAACTTACTTGACAAAGTCTGGTGCCTTTGATATCACGTGCTCAAATTCAGCAAATGAAAGTTGACTATCGTCATCCAGATCAGCCTCGTCAAATATCTGACAAATCAAAGAAAAACAAGATAAATTCTGGGTGAATAAAACAATGCTTAACATTGACTAAAACATCATTTACAGTTTCCATTTCAACCTTAGGCATCAATACAAACCCAAGGTTACAAAGATGGAGAATAACATTCGAAACACTGTGGCAAAGAACAACAGCAGCAATAACATCAACGACAACAATGTAAATGAAATGTAAACGAGCAGAACAAACTGCTTTAAAGCTCGCACTAAAATCAAACAGCATACTTTTTGGGAGTGTTGATTATAAAATTTTTGACTGTGAACTCAACAGTTCCACTTTACCACAAAGATCCTCTTGTATTTGTACTGGAACATTTTTCTCCCGTTTGCGTTATACATTTTGCTCCCCAAAACGGTGTTTCATAGACTAAATACCGATTTACGACATCCCTGTATCAATTACTAGAACCTCGCTTTGATTGAGACTACGTGCAACCCTACCCCCACCCGCTGGGTAGATCCGTTATATCCAGAAAAGTCTCTAAACAATAACAAACTTTCGCAGAGAGAAGTTATGCCCGAATTAGCACTAATTTTAATTTTATTTACAAAGGGTAAGAAAAAGCCTAAGACAGGGCTGATTGGAGAGCGAGAGTCGCAGCTTTATGTGCCTCCTGGCGCGGAGAGAACGAGCGAACAAAAGAATGAACGAAAGAGCGAACGAACGAACGAACGAACGAACGAACGGAGCGAGCTATAATAAGACGTTTTTTTCTTTGTTTGCTTGTTTTCTGTGTTGTTTTTCTTATAAAGATTAGAAATTAAAGCGCAAAAACAAAGTATAGGTAGCGTCGCTCTAATATTCTTTGCCGCGCATTGTTGATAAGTTCCACATGAATGCCACTCGGATTCACAGGGTCAAAAAAAGAATAGCTTCATTTGTACCTGTTTTACTTATTATATCACTGCTTGAGCAAAGCTACGCAGCGAAAAATACACGAAATTACAAGACTTTATCCGCGAAAGCCCCAGTGTGTTTAATTTTTTTTAATATACAGTGTTGAAATAATTATACGGTCACACTTGGTTTAAGAAGACGCCAACGAGTTTTATAAATTAATATATTTCTAGATTTTGACTCTCGAAGTTACAGACTCTATCAATAATTCAAAACCATCGACTTCTTGAAAATCAACCAAACACTGAAAGTTTTTAAGTTTTTGGTTAAAAACACGTGTCGAAAGGAAAAGAAAATCAGGTTTTCGTTATTTTCATTTTAACGCGCGGTGGCGCCTAAAATTCCACTTCAGTGCTTTCGAACACTTGAAGCACAAAGATTAAAAGTATTGCTCTCCAAAACAAGCTCTTCTCTGCTAAGGTAAGTGAGCAAAAGGCGTCCTTTTGGAACAACTGTAAACAAACAGCAGTTAAAGACACCCAACGGAAGGAAAAGAAATTCTGTTTTTCGTTTTAATTTTAACGCGCCTAAAATTCTGCTTCAGTGCTTTTGAAGTATTGCTCTCCAAAACAAGCTCTTTTGTGTTCAAGTATGTGAGCAAAAGGCGTCCTTTCGGAACAACTGTAAACAAACAGCATCAACCCATATTGTTCTCGCTCGGCAAATTGTTTAAGAATGCCATTGCTGTGCGAGAATAGAAAAATGTAAAATTTGTATGAAAGGACAACAAAGAGAGAATAAAACCCGCAAGAACATACAAAGATTTTGTGTGATTATTCTGGCTCGATTAATGCACCGCTAGACACCTTTTTTTACATTTCACGGACCAAAGAATTGATAAACACCTTGATCTCGTGAAGAAATCACGACATCAAACAACGTTAACTTCATCCACAACGGTCTTCAGGGTGGAAAGAAGCTTAAAGAACGTACAAATATCAAGAAATGCCCAGATCGAAAAGAGCTTCCTGCAAAAAGCTGACTAATATTGTTCTATTGTTAGATGCTGACTCTTCTCGTATCATTAAACCATAAACACCAGAAACTTCCAATTATCTGACACCGAGAAATTTTTCACTTGACGAAACAAGACTTGAAACACGAAAGGGAGTGGCTCTTGAGTTACCTTAAGAAACATTACAGAAAGTTGTACAATATTGCAAAACCATCGTTTTTCTGCGCTACCAGAAACATCACAAAACAAAAAAGTTCTTGTGCAAGTCTATTAACATTTAACGGTCCAATGCCGACTGTTTATGGCTGAGCGAGCATAAAACGCGAATATTTAAGCGTCGGAATTAAAAAAAAAATAGAATAAAAAACACCTAAGGGTGGATTGTGCGTGCTTATGTGTTGTGCGCCTTTTTGGCACGCACCGAGCGGTATACTCGCTCGAGATGTTCGGCTATAAATTTGTAACAAGCCTGACCAGACGTAAGACTGTTGACTTTACTCCGTCAGACAGTCCCTTCAAGAGATGTATGAACGTGTTCGATCTGACAGCTCTTGGAATTGGCTCGCTGATAGACGCGGGGCTGTATGTTGTTGTCGGCCAGTTGGCGCACTCCGTGGCCGGCCCAGCTATCATTCTGTCCTTCATGATAGCCGCAATAGCCTCGCTCCTAGCCGGTCTTTGCTACGCGGAGTTTGCATCCAGGGTGAGCCGCGCTGGTTCTGGTTACATCTACACGTACGTAGCCATGGGCGAGATCTTTGCGTTTTTAACAGGCTGGTGCATGATTACGGAGTACGTTCTCTCCGCCGCCTCACTTGCAGTGGCTTGCAGCGAGTACATTAACTTCCTTTGCAACGGTTCAGTATACAAGTACTTTATGGAAGAATTCGGAGTTTGGCATGAACCGGCGCTCGCATCGTTCCCCGATCTCTTAGCCTTCGCGCTGGTTATCATTGCAGTATTAATAATCTGCCTGGGCGTCAAACAATCCAAACTCGTCCTGGATGTCACTGTCATGGGTAATCTACTTGTGGTGACTTTTATAATCTTTGTTGGAGCTTACTATTCCGATGCTAGCAACTGGTCGAGCATGGAAAAGTTTGCGCCGTACGGATGGGGTGGAATACTTACAGCCGCGTCTAGCTGTTTCTACTGTTTTACTGGGTTTGACACTATTACAACCGCGAGCGAGGAAGCCATCAACCCAAACGTGTCTGTACCACTGGCTATTCTGCTGTCATTAGGAGTGAGCCTGCTGGTTTACATCGGCGTCATCATAGTGCTCACTATGATGGTTCCTTATTACCAGTTGAAAGACCTCGCGCCTATTGCCGAAGCATTCACCGCACGGGCCTTCAACGTTTCCAAGTACATCGTGTCTACTGGCGCCTTGTGCTCCATGTTGAGTAGCCTGCTGGCTGCGTGCTTTGCTACCCCTCGTCTGATTTACTCAATCGCCTACGACGGTCTCATCTTCGGCTGTTTTACTAAAATGGACGAGGACAGGAAGATGCCTTTGCGTGCCGTGGCCGTCAGCGGAATACTGAGCGCGCTTCTGGCGTTTCTGTTCGACATGGCACAGTTGGTGGAAATGGTGTCAATCATGACTCTCACAACATACACCATGGTGGCTTTGTCAGTGATTCTCACTCGCTACCAGCCGAACCTGGAATTTGTCGCTAGCGACGCGCAACTCACTGAACGAACGCAATCTTGGCTTCGAACTTTATTTAGGAAACGAAAAAAAGGACCGAGCAAAACTTCATACGAGAAACTTCCGCAGTCAGGACATGACAGTGTCACGACAGCATGTCACGCAAGTCCAAGCGAGTGTTCAAACACTGTAGCCAATGCCACGGTAACAATTATGATGTTGGCAATGCTCGCTCTGTGCGTTTATCTCAAAATCTGGATCACGGGCAAAGGCGATATAGAAGCCGTGTCAATCTTCGCTGTGACGGTTAGCGCGTTCGTCACAATAACTTGTCTGATAGTTCTGCAGTTGCAGCCAAAGAACCGAGTGACGTTTTCATTCATGGTTCCTTGCGTTCCTCTTCTTCCCGCGCTCAGTATATTCATCAACTTATTGCTGTTGACCCTCCTTCATCCACTAACCTACGTACGCTTCGCAATGTGGATAACAATAGGTAAGGTGCCCACTTTCCTTTTCACCTTTATTGATGTCACGACTATTAGGTACATAATTTTTTAATGGTTTAATACGACAGAAAAAGAATCAAAAGTTGGAATTACACCATGCACGAGCTAGGATGGCTAAGGTTAAACGAAGACCGACATGGATTGCAAAGTTCAAAAAAATATTTTTTAACGTTTGTATGATGAGTCTACCAGAGCAGATCGTTGCTTCTATTCAGAAGAAATGCAAATTTGTGACGTGGGTAGGGATTCTCAACCATCTTATTTTTAAAACCTTTGTTTTCTCTGTTTTAACAACATGCCTCCCTCTAAGCCAAGCATGAGTCCACTAAAATTATGCATTTACATTCTTTTTGCTTATAAAAGTAGTTTATAGCTGACTCAAACAACATTAAATTTATTTGAAATATCTGCAACAAAACTCGGGATATGGAAAACTTACTCAATTTGACTGGTATACGATCGGGAGAAAAGAACCAATGCTTGATTCACTTTCGGAAAATCTACAATATTTGTTTGAATTTACAATCCAGTGATTTATGGTGACAGCTAAATTATTAGCAACGCTTCGCTTGTCGGCTTCCCTGTATTGTATAAATGGAACAAAAATACATTGTATTCCAAGATTGAAAAAACCCTTTTAAATGTTATGCATGCATAAGCAATAGGCGAGGATATTGGATGTAAGAACTTTTTGTCCGAGACTAATCCAGTAGCATCGGTTTACCATCTGCAAGATCTATTATGCAATAAGTTTGGAAAGCTATGGCGTTTATAGACAGCTTAGCTAACTTAAGTTCTAACTAAAGTTTTTTGTCTGCTGGAACATCGGGCCAAAAGAAACAATGGGTCTGGAGTAAGCACAACAAGTTATACAGAAACAGAGTCTGTTATCACAACTGAGGGAAAATGACGATAACACATGGCGGCATTGCATATAGCTTCAAGACTCTTCAAGAGAAATGCCGCTATTTGAAATGTTATCAATATTTTGAGGGTTGCAGTGAAAATATTTTCGCCCGCCACACCCTGTCGTTTACAAAAACCTCAACGAAGGTCACAAAAGCAATATTCTGAGCGTACAGCCGTAACAAGCCGCTTTCTAGAACGAATCACTGAACCGGTGAAGTGGAAAAACTAAAAAACACTACACAATGGCAAGCTAAAAGAGTGCATTTTTCTTCGCTTTTAACAGTGTTATTTTACAAAGCTTTTCTTTTCGTCCTTGGAACGAAACAAAACTAAACTATGCAACCAACAGAAGGTACGACTCGAAAAGCAAATGACAACGAATTAGCCATGCGAGAAAAAGTAGCGTCTTTTAAATAATTACTTCAATCACAAGCCGCCCTCTAGAACGAATCACGGAACCTGCGAAGTGGAAAACTAGAAAACAGTATTCAATAGTCACAATGGCAAGCTGTGGGTGTGCATCTTTCTTCGCCTTATTTTTAATAACACATTACAGATATTTACAAGGCTTTTCTTTCGGTCCTTGAAACCTAATCGAAACGAGACCAAACTAGGTCACCAACATACTATAAGTAAAATGGTACCACTCGAAAAGCAAATGACAACGAATCAGCCATGCGAGAAAAAGTAACGCCCTTTAAATAATTACTTCAGTCTCCCTGCGTGAGTCGGTCGGCATAAATTTGGAAAACAATAAGAAGCAGAATGCTAGGTTCAAGAGAGAAGTACCTTTACGTTTAGAAAATAAAATTCAACTAGGAAGTGCGTTGCTGTTAGGAAGTGTAAAATATCCCAGTTGACAACTAAACAGTTGACTCAACTGTTCAAAAAAGGTTTAGGATGATAAAATAGGTTAAGCCTTTACGTAATTATCATACGCTCTTTTGTGTTTCAGGAATGTTTGTGTACTTTCTGTATGGATACCACAATAGCATTGAAGGCAACAAGCCCAAGTCTATTGAATTGGAACTTGATCCAATCCCTTCAATACCTGTCACTGAGACAAGTGCTAATCTTCCTTTGAAGAGACCTGAGTGGTTACAATACGATCAACAAGAGAGTTAAGACTGCTGGACAGTCTGTTCTCTCTTAAAACATGGTATAACTCTTAATGAAGGGCGATGTGAAACACCAGTCAGCTCCTCAGTGAAGCACATGCACCTTAACTACATGCCAGCAGAGAGTCAACAATCACTGAGTTGCTACGCTATTTTGAGGAGCAGTGCAAAATGAACAACAAAATCCATCACTTAAAGATTTCCTAAATTGAGTTTCCTTACCCTGTAGTTTGAAAATTAAAGACAGATTGCTTTGCAGCTGGGAGTCGAATAGTAATACATGTAGCTTTTAGTTCTTAATTTGTATAATTATTTAGAAAACTAATTTCATTAAAATTTCTAAAAAAAAGCTTCTGACTGTGTATTGATAGCAAAGGCAGATACTGTATGCGATATTAAGGTGGCTGACAACAGTTTCCAGGACGATTCCAGGGCTTTGACTTTGATGGGTCATTATAACCATTTTTTACCAGTTGATGTTACAATCACAATATCAAAAAAAACTGTTCAATCATTGGTGAACACACTGTTATCATTTTCCAACACAATAGGCTACCATAGCAACAGTATGACCTGCTAAAACCACCCTTAAATTTACCTTTAACTGCTAATAACTCAAAAACGAGCTCAGTGACCCCATTTTTTATTGCTGAAATTAGATTAGCAGGTAAGATAAAACTTTTGGCAAAGTTAAAAATTCTGTACATAGGGTTCAGAGCCACCTTAAATTTTCAAACAGCCAGTGAAAAAGAGAGGGTTCAGTAGGGTTAAGGCTATAACCCTTGCAATACTGATAATTTCAAAGCTTTTAACTGACCACTGGCAGCCAGTTTATTCTTTCAAATCTGCTTTAACCTCTTTCTCAGGAAGCAGCTTTCATTTTCAATAATGTAAATTGTTAAGATGGTTGATATCTATGCCACAACAGCCTGCATCAAAACCTGTAGCAACTTTAAAATGAATTTCCCTGTTTCTCTGACGTTTCTCTGAATTGGACAAGGAATTTAGAATTTATCCATCAAGATACCAAACTCCAATTTCTCTGACGCTTTTTGACCTGTAGCAATCCAAGGTAGCTAATCAGCTTGCAAATTTGCCAGAAGAGCACAAGTCTGCTTTTTTCTAGGATGCCATGCAGCAGAGTCATGTCAAAGATCAACTAGTCTGTAATTTGGAGGTCTGTGGTTCAAGCCCTCCACCCATACCACAAGTACATGTAGCTTGATACGTTTCTTGGTCTTCCCAAGGTCAACTTCTCAGCCACACCATCTACATGCCTTTCTTATATATTAAAATGCTCTCTCTGTGTCTGAGGTCTTGGGTTCATAAAATTCAATGTACCTGATAAAACCTTATGTCATAAAAACATTCGTGAAACTAAACCATGAAGTACTCCATTGCTCTTTATAGCATACAGGTAGTGTTATGCTGATTGCTAGTGNCGTTGTTGTTTGACCCACGCCCTCTCAGGCATTTTTTATTCTATAGTGATCGTGGCGATCATAAGGAAACCGCTAGTGGTAAGGATCGCTGCACTTTTCCTGTAGCGATCCCAAAGATAATTAGGAATTTTAACATATCGAAATAGGCTTATTGAATACCACCAGCGTACATCTGTACATGAAAATAGTGACCCCTGATAAAAGACAAGTTTTCGTTTTACCAAAATTAATTATACTAAAAATTAATTACAACTAGGAAAGTGTTGAACGTTTCTGATTTACTCGTTTTGTTGTGTCCTCTCAAAGACTAGTTCGAGCTTTTTATGAAACGTGTAAACCGCCATGCAAGTACTTTGAAGTAATTTCTGCGTCCAAGTATCTCAAACGGCTTGAAAATGGAACTAATATTCTTCCACAAAACGAAGAATACAGACAGTAATGACAATTCCAACCAACTGTGGAGAGAAAAGAAAATTAAGAAACTAATATTAAAATGCCAACCACTGAATAAGTTACAATCATATAGGAGGGCAACAACCACATATGACTTGCGTTTAATACTACTCTGAACAAGGAAAATATCTTGGGACAAAAAAAAACGCTGACTCCGGCCCGTCCTTGGTCTAAGAGTTACTTCTGGCAAAAAGCAAACATTCCAACTTAGAGTACAACGTTTTACGTTCAACGGGATTGATGTGCCAATTTTCTGAGATACCCGTTGGGGTACAGTACTAACGAATATAAAACAAAGGCAACCTGATTAGTTAGGTAACATCTACAACACCGATCTTTGGCAGATGCTGTTTTCATATAATACACGTGTGGCTCTACTAACATCATTTGTCTTTATTTTATGGTATGGTCAGCTTCAAAGTGATCAGTATGTGGCTACCATATCGCTGTCAGTAACTCTTTGATACACCGATATAGGGGAGAACAGATTTTCTTTGGGCAAAAATTTAACAAAACAAATTACGTATGGAAATAACTAAAATAACCAAGAACTTTTTATTTCGTTAACAATAACGAAACCGCGTGAAAAACATAGCCTTGAGGCATGTCGGATGAGAGGTTCGATTTTGGAATTCTATGACTTTATAAGACTGAGACAACAAAATCATTTAATGCGACTGACCTGAATAGAAGCCACACCTATTCCAACAATTGCAAGAATGGTGAAATGTTCTTGAAAGAATTCCTCTACCAGTGTCAGACATCCCTGAAAAAAAGATCAATTGGTCTGTTTAGACTGCATTTCTACGGCATAAGATACATGTTTTTCAGGGATTAGTACAAATTATTTAGCAGACCGTCAGTGATTAGGTTTTGTAGAAAGACTGAGGGAAGGAAAACGCCCGTTGCTTTACGTTTAGAGATTCGGGTGGCTTCAACCAAGACTAGTGACATATTTGTTTCAGGGATTTTCAGAGTCTGAAGATTGCTTTTCTCACTGAGAGCAGTGCCACGTCTAAATATTTCGACATATTTTTCCTTTCAAACATTCGGATCCAAAAATTGCAACTTCGTATAATTATGAGCTTCATGCGCGTACGGACAGAGAAAAACTGTGTTAACATAAGGGCACATAAAAAATAAATTGCTATTTTGTGAGGCACTACCCGGAGGTACTTCTTCCACTTCACCAACGCGTTCTTTTTCCAATTAAGAACCAGTTGTGTTCATCTTTCAATCTTGTTGTGAAGATTGGTTAACCCTATTAATTGAAAGTTTAGGAAATAATCATGTACAAGGACGAAAATGAATATTGCAACATTATTTCGTCGACTCTTCATAGATGAAACATAATCAGGCTGTCTAGCCTACACGCTAAGTACATGTATGTTCGTGGGAGAAAGGCTGAACATCAACATCAACCCAAGTAATGACTGCAAAGGAGGCTAACGTTTTAGTACAAAATTGAACATTCCAAACCATGTTTTATTCTGATACTGTACATCCAAGATTCAAAAACTGTTTTAAGAGAACATGACACGCGGATAAAACAATTTACCCTTAGAGACATAATATCCTATTAGCTCTACCTTATTATTGATATTTGATGGATGTGTTCTTATGCCACACCCTTCAGACGGCGTTTTACAGCATGAATCAGGAACACTGTTTGTTTGCCCATCTCTCTGCTGCCATGAAGTGCCATTCCAGCTATCTCCCCCAGTGTCACCGCAGCATTTGTTCTGAATTGTAACAAATGGACAAGGGAAAATCACTCTGGTTTGGAAATTAACCATTCAATTTCAATACATGTATAACCTGAACAAGAGCCATCACCGGGGTTGGGTGGGGGGNTATTTCCTCAAAATTTTGGTAGGGTTGTTATGTGCTTTTTGAAACCTTATGTACACTATTTCAATTCAAACTATGTGATTTTAAGTGCTCTAAAAGTAATATCTGTCTCTAATACAAAACCTTAGCTAGCCATGAAAGGCTTTGTGTAAACATTATTTTAGGAAAATACATCACAAAGAGGAATCAAATTCCTTGAGGGAAGGAAGAAGCTCCATGCAAGAGAAACCCCAAAGGTTTATTTGTCCCAAAAAAATAGTCATCTGAATGATTAACAGTAAAAAAGATAGAACATGTCAGCATGTCAGGGTAGATAATTGCTGACAACTGGCATGAAATTTTTATCAATTGACAATACATGTACATGCATATATGCGATCATAGCGCACACTTAAAGCCCAAACACAAGTTGCAATAGGTCATATCCAAGTTACCTTGTGCCTCTGTTTAAAAACAAGTCCTCGTGCAAAACCTTTCATATGAAATGAGTTTGATTTGCATGAAAATGAACCTGTAGGAGGAACACATTTTCACATGAATGGTTTTGCACAAAGACTTGTTTTGACATAGAGACAAAAGACAACTTGGCCTATCAGCCATCATGTGTATTGTCTCACTGTGTCCACTGAGCCCTTCAGCAAGGAGCTTTACTAAAAAGTACAGCTCTGATTAGAAGAATAATCACTAATAAAATCAGTGGATCAATTGACAACCTTATGCCAGCTTTTCAGCAGAAACCAAGGGCCTATCCAGCTCAGTGAAAACCAGTCTGGGTTCAGTTCTTCAACCTGGCTAAAGTGTCCATCTGTTGTACAAAATTATGTAGTATTCAACATTCCAGCCTTACCGTTTAGGGATGTAGCATCAAGGTTATTGCTGCTTACCTCCTGTTGTAGCTTGTCAATAGATTTAGTGACATCCTCATTCACACCATACTGTTGATTCATTTTCTCTTTTATTGCTGTTTTTAGTTCACCTTTTATCTAGCAAAAAACACACATTCAAATTAGCATGTTCCTTACATGAAACATGCACTATCATTATGTAGCTTAGTTATTTAGTGATTTGAGGCCAAAAGTATGTGGAATTTTCACTGAAGTCGATACATTGTACATCAATACTATAAATACCTTCTTGACCCTCAATCACAATAGAAATGCAAGATAATTTATTAATGTCAAACACACAGGAAGTGGTTACCCAGTCCCCCAAGTGGAAGGCTCATGATAACCATGTTTGACAAGCTCAAAACTAAATATGTTTAAAAAGAACTGAGAATTACATGCAAAATAGTTTGAAATAGCGGGAGTTTGAAATAAGCGATAGCAAACGACTGAAGAGCAAATCCAGGGGAAAAGATTTTGAGTTCAAAATAGCGGGGAATTCAAAATAACCGAGTTCAAATTGGCCAGGTCCAACTGTATCTAAATAATTAAATATTTGGTCAAGTCTTAAGATAATTGATGAGTTAGTATAGTCATTTAATTTGTGTATTAGTATGGTTACAGTAAAGGAAGGTACTGCATTGGCAGCCAGAATTATTAAAATTATTTAATGTCTAAGAAAAGACGACACATTTGGTGCGTTCTTAACAACTGATGGCAGCTGGTTTCATGTACGAGAAATAATGCAGCTATAAAACATACCAGCTATGAAAACATCTACTATTATAAGAATAATCACACCAAAATTATGAGAAAGAATTTTAACAAAGGTGCAAGTGAAGATCTACAAATGTATGCAGTTTTCAGATATACAGGTGTAGTGGGGTAGTGTGGTGTTTGGTTCATTCATACATTGAACCAAACACAACAATGCACTGTTTTGTGCTTGCAATGCATACATCTCTTGACACACTCATTATGTTATAAAATATTAGCTAAAATAACAAATAATTGTTAGGAGTAATCATTATTCCAATTAGATTCTTTAGAATACAAATCCAGGGCTGTTTTTTCTATTACAATTTTATTTTCAGTTCAACAGCTTACATGATTTCACATTGTAAAAAGTAGGCTAAAAACAAATCAAGGTTGCAGGTTGTACCTTAGTAGAGTATACAAATGCCAGTATTCCAATCGTCAGCTCCAGAATGAAAATCAAGATCACCATCACTAAAAACTGCCGTGGTAAATATGAAAAACATTTTTGTTTAGTTATATGGAGAAACACATTGATCGATATTAAAATTCTAATCCCAATTGAAGGTGGCAGTCATGCGCAACTATGTACCTCTTGTAATTGCCCTCAAAGGGTGGAAGGGCTCTTATACATGCCCTAAACTCCCCCTCCCCCTTAAAAAATTGCTATTCAACAAAATATTTCAGATCAGAAGAACTCTCTACTTCCCTGTTTTATAGGTCTGCCTGGTACTACACATCGCATTTTGTCTTGTTATTTGTTGTTTGAGCTTGTATTATATTGCATGATTCTAGGCCCAAATAACAAATAACATGTCAACAAATAACGAAAATAGAGAATCATAGTTTGAAATTAAAGTAAGGCATAACAGATAAAGAATTATATGTCAAACTAGCAGAGTGTACTTACTGAGATTAAGAAAAATCGATTTTCCTTTGCCGCTCCTACACATCCCACTATGCCAACAATGATGACAACAACTCCTGCTGCAATCATGAGACCAGGAACAATGACGTATATGTCACTGTCCAGCAAGCTTTGGTAATCACTCTTGTACACCATAATCCATATACCAACCCCCATAATTCCAATTCCCGCAAGCTGAAGACAAATTAGATACAAAATCAACTGATATTCACTGTATAATTTGTCTATTCATTGAGTAAGTTAACTTTAGTTTTAATATCAGGGTGATCCATTCAGCTATGTGTCCAGTCAGTCCATAGGGGCCCCAGGAGCAAATTTGTGCCAGTTTCCACCATTTTACACAATTTATTTTTTTCAGAATTACTCAGAAAACCAGGGTACAAACTTTACATTTCCTGGAGGGGGCATGGCCCAGGACCCCTCTGGAAGCCTGTGCCTTTGGCGCTCATTTTAGAAATTTGTCACCATTTATCCTAGATCTGTACCACTCAGCGATTGCCATGACAGATGATTTGCACAGCATGACCAAAAAGCCTCTATTATCTCCCCAGCGCACCTAACTGGATCAGACAAGTTGTAGGAAGGACAAGAGCTAAATGTATGTGACCTAGAAGCCTACTTGTAACTCTAAATGACACTACGAGCAGAAACCTCTGGCCAGCATCATGCCACAGTGTAGGCAATTGTGACTTGCTCAAGTATGTTTACATGATTGAATTTCACTAGCACTATGAGCCAACACCACTTGCAGATGCTGGACCCTAGCCGCATATAATGAGTGTAAAACAGCACCACTAAAACAAGCGCATATGACACAGATTGGGGAAGTTGCCGAGAGACTTACAGTGTAACCAGTAGAGGAGCATGCAACTGAAGGAAAACCCAGAATTTATTAAAAATTACCAAATCTCCAAAGAGAAAGAAGGAGGGAATAACAATTTTACAACACTAAAGAAGACCTTTCAGTATGCAGTTATGCCAAGTGAATGAGGCTTTGGACTTGAACGAAAGTTTTTAAAGCTAGACAGTCACCTTGGATTGGGCCATTGGTGAATTATGTTTTATTATAAATGGGCGTCACTTACATGGGGTAACACTGGACATGAATGGATCCTTTTGAATCCTTGTTAGTATCTAATCATCTCATACCGGTAGTTTTGCTTACGAGAGAGACAGCATTATAACACAGTATTATTGACTCACTTTTGCTGCACGTGCTTGTTTGAAACTTGCAAGGACAGCAAAGCAGTGAAACGGGTTCCTCAAGTCACGTAAGTACGCCGCCAATATAATGCGGTAATGCCGTCTCAAAATTGCATTTATTTTAGATAATTATTATGGCCACATTCCTTTTAGCCTCCAACACAGACATTCTTATGGCCTTCCCCCCCCNCAAACAAAAGCTCAGTGAGTCTAGTTCCCTACTACTGGTACCCATTGACCAGGCCAGGCCATATAGGGAGCACACAGGTAGTAGAGCAGTTAATAAAGTTAAGCTTACACATGATGGGAAGAACACAGTTGTTAATGAGACATGGATTATAAAGCGTACAAGAATGGGCCTTCTAAAACTTTGATTGAGACTAAAGATTGCTAAATGATTGAAGAGTATCCATCAATTTTACCTATTTCAAAAACCTTTTTACTTGTTAGCTCTCTTACCTACTGATTCAATTAAGCTTATATACACAAAAAATAAACACAGGGTGTAGAAAGCAAAGAAACTTATTAATCAGCACTAGTTCCAGAAGGAAACGGGATTAATGGACAACAGTGATCGCAAATGACTAAATATGCTAAGTTTATACTGGAAACATGGCTTATTTTCCGTAATATTCGTTGTTTTGATCTTAAAGTCGGGTAAAAAGATAAGAGGAATTAACTAACATGCACGTGAATTATTAGTCTTCCCTCAAAATACCACATTAGTGAGATCGACTTAAGCTTCGCTCGTCGGTTGATGGTCGCACTGACAAACTCTGGCGGTCAGCTGGTCACTTACTACTCACCAAGAATAGAAATGTAAACACGAAGAAAAGAGTCTTCATGCAAACGATGTTACAGGCTCCTTCATTTCTGGCCTTCATCACTTTGGCGCGCGATAAAACCTAAACAGATGAACTACAAGCAACACCACTGGAGGAAATCAGTAAATCTCTAGAATGTAGATGATCAATGCAGAAGTTCATAACATCGGAAGTAGGCGTGAAAGCCGCTATGTCATTTGATCACCAATCAAATAGCACATTTTAGCCCACGTGACAGGCGTGGAGTACCGCTTCACGGAAAATCTGGATTGCTGGACAATGGAAAACGCCACTAGGAAAGGTGATCTTACTTGTAAGTTAAAATAACTTAACTCACCCAGAGAGCAATTTGATTTCATTTTTTTTCTCGCTGCAAGGGTGAGTGCTATTCTGGGAGAACCCTGCAAACTGATTGCTTTTCTTCATCACAATCACGGTGAAATAGGTACGAAATCATTTTGCAACAAGGAGAGAGGAAAGTTCCGATTTTGCGCTTGAGGTAATTCCCCTGAAATTAAACTGCATATAGATTTTTGTTCAAACTTTGTCCAATGAATATTTATCATATGAGAACTTTAATTACAAAATAAAAAAGGAGGGTGCTCATGCTCGTTAAGGAGCAGTGAGGCATTGAAAATGTCCCATTTTAGCGTTATTTTTAAATGCTTATTACCTCATTCTAAGTTATTGTAAACTCTTTGTGAGCCCAGACTCCTAAAAACACGCCTCAAACTACAGTCAATACTTGTGTCGGACACAAATAAAGTTTTATTTTGACAGACAGCTGAATCCTTGTTACAATATTGGAACCAAATTGCTTGCCACGGCTATCAAACTGCAAAATAGAGAAGACTACACAGTGCAGCTGCTATTTTCCTTATTTATTCAATTTTCAAAGATAGAAATCAGATCAGTCTTTTCTCACGCAAAGCTAATGATTAGTTGATTAAAACGACTGGAAAAAAAAATTGGGATGCCCGAGCTCGTTAATGAGCTATAGCCATTTTTCAACTAACAGAACTCAATATCAAGGCAAATCCGCCATGTTTTCAGTGTGCGCGTGCACGAACGCGCGCTAATGACGCCATAAATTATGCTCAGTAAGGATGCGCAATGCAATACTGGGMAATGACCTTGAGGTCATTCCCCAATATTGCATTGCGCATCCCTACTGCGCATAATTTCACGTGTGATTAGCGCGCGCGCATTAAAAAATGGCGGCTTTTTCTTCGCGGCTGGACCTCGCCATGGAGGTAAATCGTCATTTTCTCGAAAACGAGTACGGTGACCTATGATTTTTTTCTGTTGTGTTGAGTTGAGTAATAAATTTCTCTATGAAAAATAAATATGGGCCAATTCTCAGTGTTGAGCAAGAAACAATCGTCGGAAACGTGAATTTAGCAAGCAATCGTCACCATAATCATGGTGCTATTGTAAAGAATTATATGGTATAAACAAGGTGCTGTTGCTCCTAAACGAACATGGGAACCCCTCATTTTTATTTCAAAATTTAAGTTCCTACCATATAAACAGTCAATAGGCAAAGTTTGACAAAAATCTCAGTGCACGTTCTATTTCACTGGAATGACCTTAAGCGCGTTCAGTGCTTTCCACGGTCTGCGGAGGGCGGAGTACTGGTTTAAGGTTGATGGGCTAAACTGATCAATTTGGGTTTATTTATCACTTATTTTTTTTCATTTGCAAAACCGGTTTGAAAGTTATCGCCAAGCGCATGAAGTTTGTACTACTTGCGAAACTTTTCGTACAGTCTTTTACTTTCCTGATGACAGATCCCAGCCACGAACAACGTCCTGCCTTCCTTGCCCGTCAGAGTATTTTTGAACACATTAATACACTTTCTGCCTATTAGGGGCTAAGGGATAACGGAATAGTTAGGTAAATAATGAAGGGATAATGCATATTTGAGGGAAAAAGGAGATGGGAGATGGGATATTTATAAGAGATATATATCCCGGGATATCGAGTAGGAATATTGTTAATTTTTGAAATATTAAATTAACGGGAGACGGGATATTTACGCCAAAACAACGGAATACGGGATCCCCCCTCCGCCCCCAATGAGGCCTCTCTTTGACCACTGACAGGTTAGACGAAACAGGGTTAGAACAAGGCAATTTTTGTTGGGAGAACAAATAAATTTAAAATAATGGAATTCACCGGCCCAGTCATTATTTGTTGCTTGGTCGGTACGATCAAAGCCAGTGAAGTATTTATTGAATATGCTATATTATTGAATTTGATACTTACAACATGTAGGACCCGCCAAAAAGCATTCTAGTAATTGGCGCTTTCAGCTGCGATTTGTCATGCCATAAAAATTCGAGATATTCAGTATTTATCTTAGTGGGCTCGATTTGACCAAACAAGACAAGATATAAATCAGTCTTGAGGTACAACCGACAACTACAACATTTTTGCATGATAGGCCCTTAAAGCAATGCCGCTTGTCGGGTCGTTAACTTAAAACTCTTTAAAAAAAAAAAGCAAACGTTGTTCGCCCGTTATAGAACTCGATATAAATCAGTTTTTATTTTGAAAGCGCTTACAAAGTAAGTCAAATTATTATTTGCGACACTGATTCATTTGACCAAGGCTATACATGCACCAAAGGCAGCTATAGTGTTAGTTACAACACGGCGTTTAATACAACTATCAATGGTAGCAATCAGTTATTCAGCTTAGTTTTCGATAGAATATTTGTATAAGGAGAAAAAAATCAAAGTGCGGTGGACATTGAGAAAAACGCAACCTTTAATCAACAATGATTGTATTACGTTCACTATAAATAAAGGAAAATAAAGGAGAAGTGTACAATCAGCTCGCCGCCGATAGTAAGCCAGAGAATTGATGTTAGTGTATGCTTGTGTCTATTCATGCAGCTTCCCCTCCGGCAATTTTAGTTTTTTTTTGTCTGAAAATGCCTTAGGCCCTTTTTAAAAGTGAGCTGTATCTGTCAGTTTTATCTTTTCCAGAGGGCAAATTAAAAAAAAAACCGACAAAAAAAAAGCAAATTGGATCATATTACGTTTGAAATTTTGCTCTTTAGCAACAGAATGAAAATTATAATTTCTTTTTGGTTAATAGCTTCAGAGATCATCCGTTCTCTATTATTAACGCTAGCGTGATCTATCGACTATCAGGTCGAAAGGAAGACTTCGTTCGCCGTAAAATAACTGCATGGTAAGTGGCTGTATGAAGATAAGTTTGTCCCAGTCATGTATTGATCGTTTTGCGGAGAGGTTTGTTCGATCAACTTGACAAGTGGGAACACCTTCACATGGTTGCACAAAACACGGCTTTCGAAAACTCGCTCGAGAAAATCTCTGAAATAGAGTACTACATTGCAAGCTGGTAAGTACAATACAACTTCGTTCATTTCGTGCTGTGTTTGTTCAATACCACTGAGAAAATATTCTATGAATTACAGTCTACAGAAGAGTTTCCAACAAATAAGAATCGAAAAGATTTGATAGTTGTTTCAGATTTCTCTTTTCGACAAATATTATCATAATCGTTTGAGAGCTCACTCAGTCTGATGCTGTTAAAATCGGACGAATGCGAAAAAAAACTGTGCTTACTCTGGGCAATTCAATCTTAGCCAACTATTAATTTAATTTAGTTCGAATTTTTTCTAACATTTAACCATTTTTAATGAGGATATTTTTTTTAATCCTACTTGATAATTGAAATCGTGACACCAACAACACTTTGTGCAGTCTTACAGATGTAAAACGTAGCGACTGTAAGGCGAAAAACCGAGAACCGAGTTGTCAAATCGACTTGCGGAATTAAGAGGGGAAATACGGGAGAAAGGACTTCCTTGTTTGTATTGCTTAAAATCCACCAATTTATGAAAAGATCAAGCTTTTAAATGATATGAGGCGACACGGTGACACTCGGTCTGTAGGTTGACAATGGTTTGCACCTGCAATGTGATGCTATCATTCCCAGTTTTCCCAGCTCTAAGTAATTTGTCTTTGATATTCAAAACATGACAAAAGTTAGCACTTTAAAACTGCATATATAAACATGATGCACTCGCATTTTGACATATCGATTTTCAACGTCGTTTACTTGAGAAACTGACTTTTCTTTCACAACTAGTCAACCCCAATTACGCGAGAATTTAGTTTCTTTTAGTCATTAAATTTCTATGTTTGTCTGTTTTTAAACTAGCAAAAACAAATTACTCAGCTGTTCTGTACTCTGGACATTGTAACTGCATTGATCTCAGTTACATGTTTGCTGTTTGACTTTCCGCTTTTACGATCCCTAAGCAAATATAAATATAATCTTATTGAAGTAGTTGATTACATTTGTATCAGTTGTTCTACAACTTTTTCTGTTCGTTTCGTGTAAGTTTTCCTCTGCGGTCATAAATTTTTAAAACATTTCTATTCAAAGGTTTTGAGTAAAATACGTAAATATTTGACATTTCATGTATTGAAACTCTTTCGTTTTTATTCGTTTTGTGGAAATTCTCCTTTCACATCATGAATTTTTGATACAATTGTACTTGAAGAATGCTTTTCGGCGTTCCTCGCCGTCAGTCACTAGGGACCTTAAGCACCGACGACGAATGGGACGACGACGACGAGTAAAACTGTTGTAGGACTGGGTCGAGGACGTCGTTCACGGCGTGAAAACCAAGTG